TCCAATTCTGTGTCTGGCACCCTGGCAGTAAGGCCTTCCTTTTCCATCAGAAGAGTGGGCAGAGTCTCCTGAGTGATGGAGAGCAAGCCACCAAGGTTCAGATATAGGACTTCCTAAAGAGAGAAATGTCAGAGAGCAAAGACATTCAAAGTCAGCAGGTAGTAAAGCTAGCAAAGACATTCAATGCCAGCAGGTAGGATTTTAGAGAGGGAGTAACTCCTGTGAAATTTGTGGATGTTTCTGTCTTCATCTTGTTCCCGTGAGCACCTTACAAAGTGCATTCACTCATGTATTCTTTCCTCATTCTTCTTCCCCTTTGTAGGGCCGACTTCATTGGCAGAAGAAAAACATTGAAGGCAAACAGTATCTCAGCAATCTGGGAATGAGGAACACTTCTCATACGCTTCCCAGCATGGCCACTTTCGTTGCCAACAAGCCTGACCTGCAGGTGACCATCAAAGAAGAAAGCTGCCCACTGCCTTACAACAGCTCCTGGCCCCCGTTCCCAGACATCCCCCTGCCACAAGTTGTGTCCACAGCCTCCACTAGCAGCAGCCGGCCAGACCGCGAGACGCGGGCAAGTGTCATCAAGAAAACGTCAGACATCACCCAGTCGAGAGTCAAGAGCTGCTAAGCCTTTGACAGTGTGTTTTTTAGCTTCGTTTTGTTTGGGTTTGTATTTTATGTTTCTCTAGGAGAGGTTCATCCCTTGACGCACATTAGACAAATCTAAGGTAAAGAAAGCCTTGGCAATATAAAACATTGCTGTGTCCGACTCCAGTGCCGGAGTGTTTTTAACTCAGGACTCCAGCCGTCAGTATGTACACCTGAACCCAGACGGACTTCCAAGGTTGCTAGGTAGGAAAAACCCAAGAACTTTGGCCCACTCACAGGTTCCAGTGTTTCATATGAGGACCAACCGACCACAAGGGAAGTGGTGCTGCTGCGCTTCTTGCTGTCAAGGCTGTGATGGAACTGAAAGCCTCAGAATGGAAGAGAAAATGTGAACTAGCTGGAATATTTTTAAATAAAAAAATCTATTGTGAATATTGTACATAGTGCAGTACTAGCAACGTTGCAGTCTGCTTCTGCACCTTATTAAGAAAGCACTTATGAAAGGCCTTTTATTACCTTGCTCTACTTAATGGCACATTGAAGGTCCCTCCCCACCTGTATTCTTTTCCAAGGCTATTCTTGCTAAAGTGTCTTTAAAGAATAGAGGAAAGGAAAGGAAGTTAAAACTTCCCATGTGGATTTCATACATTTTAAGACTGCTTTTCTCATGTTTGTTTTCTAATCTGCTATGCTTGAATGCCGCGTGGTACAATAGGAAAAAAAAAAAACTATTACAGAGATATTATGCAAATTCCCAGATTTAAAAAAGAAGAAGAAAAATACTCTAATTCTAACCAGAGCAAGCTTTTTTATTTTTTATACAGGGGAATATTTTATTCAAAATAAAATTCTAAAGTGAATATAATTTTTTTTAATCTTTTCTACAGCAAATTTATAATTTTAAGAATCAGTCCTTGGTTATCAGCAGTTATTACATCCTTGTGGCACATTTTTTTTTTTAATTTTGTAAAGGTGAAATAGCTTTTATGAGCTCATGTAGCAATCAGATTATCCTGTGGATTGATAATAAATATGGTATATAGTTAAATTTTTAATAATCCTCTTGTTTGTCTCTCTTTTTTTAATCTTGCAGAAGCCCCAGATGGGTGTTTGATAGGTGGATGTGACCTCTGAGTGAACAATTAGCATGAGCCGTCTTTACAGTTTCTGCAGTGCCCATCTAACAGAGTGGGAAGTGCTGTGCTCGAGACAGCTTGAGGTGGAAAGAGGAACTAGAGCTTAATGGCAACCTACTCAAGTTTGGCCTCACGTGAACAGGTTGGGAACTGGGAAACCTCTTCTGGTGCTATTCCATGGTTGGGCTTGGAGCAAGGCACCTTATGGAAGGGATCTTGAGGAAGCCCATCCCCAGCCCAAAGCAGGCTCAGCTGTGTTTGCCCCGTTCTTGGTAGATACCTGTTTAGTTTACTCAGTTTTCTTGTCCAGAAAATCATGTTTTTGAAGAGTTTCAAGCAATAGCTCTTCATTAGTGGAATGAATCAGAAGTCAAGTAAACACACTTGAAGTAAACATCCCCCAAGGCTTTCAACATCTACTGTGTGATGACAAATTCTGATTCCTCTGGGCCTTTGAGGGAAGCTGTAGAGTGTCTAATTAAGTGTGTGTAGTGGCTTGCAGGATGGCGTGGTGGTGGTGGGTAAACCATGCTCTTGGTTCTGTGAGATGCTATACTCTGAGCTATCAGTGTTCTCCAGGTGTGCCTATCAGTCCGATACTGACTCGACAGCTGAGTGCGTGTGGAGTATTGTGCACGTGTGGCTGATGAGCAGCAATAGGCACGAAATAGGCTGTGTCAAAGGGAGATGTATTCGTTTTCTGTTAAAAAGGCCCAGGTTCTGGCCAGTAGGATTTTACTGTGTGCTTAACCTGATACCACAATTTCAAGTTTCATCACAAGCCCATCTGAAACTTGCAGTTTCACACCCAGAGGCTAGAGCTTTGGTCAGGGCTGGGAGGAAAAGACGGACCAGAGCAGTATTTGAAGTGAGCCTGAAAACTCCTAACAGTGAAAACTGGTGTATGGAACAGAGACTTCCCAGTCTCTGTCCTTTTTTTGGGGTTGTGTACTCACCCTTCCAATGGCCCTTCCAAAGGCTTGGTCTTCTGCAAATAGATTGTGTGTGTTGGAGGGGTGTTACACTGAGTCTCCATTATCCTGAAGGCTTTGCCTCATTATTTTCTGTTTTCTTAACACAGTCTACTTTGTTTTTTTGTAACTTCCCAGCTCAAGGTTGGAAGTTGCTCTGTAGTGTTTCCCAGCCACAATTAAGATAACAGGCTCCTGTTTTTAGGCAGTGGCTTTATAGGATCACAGAAGAGCCGTGTTGAAGGGCCCCTGGGGATGCACCCCTTTCCTTCTGCTGAAAGCAGGATCCCAGACTAGGTTATCCAGCGCCATGTCAAACCAAGCCTTGAGTGTTTCCAGCAAGAGAAACTGGCCACTTCTTCACCTGGCAATCTTACTCCATGGTCAGTGGTTTTCACAGCAGATTTTTTTTGTCTTTATAACCAGATAGAGTTGCCCTTGGAGCAGCTTGGGCCCATTGCCTCTTGTACTGTCACCATGCGCCTTTGTGAAGGGGCTGCCTCTGTCTTCGCTGTGACCCACCATCACCTGATGAATTTTTATGGTGGGGAAGGAAGAGTTGGGGTGCTTGCTCAAAGCTCAGCCTAGGGTTAAGGTTGCATACACAGGCAAGCCCAGAGCTGCAGTTAACCTGGGGCTAGGAAGGGGCTGCTGAGCTCAGCAGAAGGCTGCTGCTCAAACTGTCCTCTGAGGAGGGCTTGCTGGGGAAACCACGGCTGCGGTGCTTGGGCTGAGACCCTAGGGCTAGGGTCAGGGCTGAGAGGAAGAGAAAGCCCCGTTGCATAGGGCTGGAAAGCATCAAGTAATGTAAATTCAGTGCTGGCACTCTCATTCTCCTCTGAGGAGTATTTAGTCTGTGGATGCTCAGCCTGGGTTTAGTGCTAGCGTTACGGCCGAAAGCCCAGACACACAGTGGCGTGGGGGCTGGAAAGTGTCTTACAAAGTAAGCAGAGCTGACGCTGGGCTTTTGCTTTATCAAAAGCAGGGCTTCTGTGTACCCCAGCGATGGCCTGCTCTCGGGGGCCAGGCTGGCTGTGTTAGATGCTGGCACATCTCTGCAGGCTCCCACGCAAATGGCAGTGCCCAGTGCGTTACACAGAGAAAACAGGCAGTGGGCTCAGTTGTAGCTGTGGTTTAAGCTCCCTGCCCTACACCTCTGGCATTAAAAAAGCATCTCCAAGGCTCTGTACCTTTCAGCAATTGCTTCTTCCCACAAGGCTCCTTTTTATTCCTGAGCCTCTGCCTTTCATTGCATCCTGCGTGACTGTGGGTGAGAGTCTGGCTTCAGCAAGCTCCGCTGCATGCTTGGGTAAGTAAGGAACTGCTTGCCAGAAGGTCCGCCTGAGTTTTCCTAGGTAGATAGAAGTTTGTTTCCAAAGTAAACCGTCACTTGGCAGGGGAAGAATTCGCTGCTCTTCGCTTCAGCCATCTGAAAACGAGTAGCCGATGAGCAAAGGCAGGCACCTCCAGTGTAGGCTGCTTGTTCATCTTTGTGTAGCCAAAGCAAGTTACGTGCTCCCATCTCGCCCGTGGTGAGAGCCTGCTGATGATCAGATAGCTTGGCTCGCTCTCCCCGTGTTTCTGTGAGGAAGGCAGCTAACCTGCAAAAGCAGTAGCTCCTGCCCTGCTCCAGCAGCTGCGCAACAGGAGACACACGTATGCCTGGGAAGGGCAGGCATACTTGCTAAATTCTCCTTTTCCCAGGGCTGAGGTGTTTGAAGCTCTTCCAAGAGGTGTCCACGCAAGGGAGTTGCTGTGCACAGCTGTAGCACTGATCCCCCAGGCACAGCATCCACTCACTGCGCCTGGAAGGTGGCCACGTGCTGGCAGCCCGCTCTGGCCGAAAGCAGTTGGTCAGCGGCAGCGGCGGGGTGATGTAAATGCAAAGGAAGATTTCTTCTGACGCAGAAACCATCTAGGCATCTGTTCTGCAATGTGATGTTCGACTCCCTGTGCTACCCACGCTTGCAGAACTATGCAAAGCCTTAAACTACCCAGCCCTTCATAGCGCGGCCGCCACTTTGGTTCCAAAGCACTGGGAGCCAGATGCCTGCCCATCAGCGCTGTGAATAATGCCAGTTCAATCTCATGTGATACGTGATGTGGTCAGCGGGGGAGCCTGCAGAAACCTCCCTGAGGGGGGCAGGAAGGAGGACAGACTCTCCCTGGGCATGGCTCAGTGGCCGTGGGGGTGTCCATGCCGAGCTGCCTGCCCTGGGGACGCTGCCAGCTCGGGCAATTCCCTTTAGGGAGCTCAGATAGCCAGGAGCTGTGATACCAGAGTCTGCTCCTTGCAGAAGGGCTCTCCACAGGGCTCAGGTTGGAGAAGAGTAATCCCAGGAGCAGCAGAACTGAAGGCTGATGTGCTTGGGGTTCGCACTATGTTCAGTGGTGTCTCCTGGGGGGGGCATTGCTGAAGCTTCGCTGTTTGTTAGGGCGTTCATGCATCCTTCTCCCTGCCTCACCTCCATATGAACTTTCTAGAGAAGGTCTAACCCACACAGCAGCTGCTTCTTCAGCAAGGACCTGGTGAGAGCTGTCTTTCCTATCTCAGACCTGTAGGAACTTCTTGCCTTTAAGACGCCTCCCTTTCTCTCAGAGCCGATTGACAGCAGTTGCAGAATAACTCAGGTCGGATGGGACCTCTGGAGGTCACCTGGCCCAGCACCTGGTCAAAACAGGGCTAGTTTCAAAGGTCAGGTTTCTCAGAGCTGCGCTAGGTCCAATTTTGAGCACTCCAACATAGGAAGGGGGTGGTCACACATGGTGACGTGGTCACCTTCATAACATGACGCCACGAGCCTCAGACCCTTCAGAAACCAGGGCTTTAGTCAGTGTAGCTGGAGGTTCCCTGGAGCTGAAGGCTGACGACCTGCCTGCGTGAGATGCTGCCATCACACGGAGGTCTGCTTTGAAGTCTGAGAAAGAGAGGAGCAGGATTATTTAAAGAAAAGGAGATGACAAAGCACAGATTCTTACTGCGCCTGCTGATTTACCGCAAGGGGAATCACCCCCCTTCTACTGCAGGTGCCTTTGCCCTCAGCTATCGTGGGCACCCCTCACCTGGGCTTGTGTTTCTTGCAGTTTTTCAAGAGAGAGCTGCTTGAAGACTCCTGTGAAGGCGGGATCGCCCTTTCTGTAACTCAACTGAAATAATGGAAAAAGTGAGTGCGTGCGTGGAAAAATGAACTGATGGCCCCAAGCGTGAATTTATCCAGGTGTCTCTGTGAGTCATAGAGCTTATCGTCCAGGTTCGTGCTTGGTGGCTGGGGCTGCCACTGCTGCCTTCCCCCTGGCGTATGTCAAGATCCTTGCATACAAAATTGTTCAATTCCCTTTCAAAATAATGGTATGGGATTCAGCTCAACGCCCTCCCCGGGGTCAGGCCCTAATGTTTTGTTCAGCATGTGGCAATGGCCATGGGCCCTGGTTGTGTGTCACCACCCGGCTGTCCCCATCCCTCCCTCCGTCCCTCGGCACTCCTGGGGCTTCAGTTTGGGCTGCCGAAGGAGTTGTACTGCAGGAGAAGCAGCCCGGGGACCCTCACGGGCAGTGCCTGAAGGCGGGTTTCCTCCTTTGTGGCAGCACCAACAGGTGCAGGATTTTTCTGTCAACAAAAACGAAAATAGTTCTTGTGAGGAAGGAAACCACAGGGGCTGACAGCGACTGCTGCTGCAGGCAGCGCTTTGTCCGCAGCCCTGTTTTTGCTGAGATAAAGACAGCGGTGGCCAGGCCACGCTTGGGCTTCATGAAACTCAGCTACTGGATGTTACAGCTTACTCTCAGCTTCTTTTTTTTTTTCTTGGGGGGTGAGCAGCTTTAAATAGATCAGCAGAGGCAGAGGAAGCCCTCTCCAAGCTCAGTTGGTTATTTTTCTGATGAGTAGCTGATGATAGGTAGATCCTTTGGGCTGCTTCTGCTTTCAGTGAGACAGCTGGGGACTAAATAATTCAGCAGCAGCTGAAAGGCGTGCTGCAGTTGCGCGTGGCTTGCTTGGACCTCCGAGATGGATTTTGTCTGGAGCTGATTTCATACCAGCACAGGGAGGTGAGGCATCAGTGGAGATGGTCCCTTGTTTTTTACAGGTTAATACTGGTGTAGGGATGGTGGAAAGGAACGGGAGCTACTATTTTTCTTTGTTTCATCGTGGCTACGTCTCTCAGATCTGAGTGCTACGGCTCCCCTCCAGAGGATACCTGACAGGGTTGTGTTTGTTTCCATGCTTTATTTGATGTATGGTTTCTCAGCTGACCGTGTTCTTCATAATACAGCCAGGTTTTGAAAACTGCATACGTTTTCTCAGGCTGTTGCTTTGGAGAACATCAGCTTTAGGTAGGACATCTGAACCCAAGCTGTGAAGGTGCTGCATTGTTAACCCCTTGCAATTTCTGCTCTGACACCTAGCACAGCAGCAGGAAACCAGCCGGGTGCTGAGGATGTTTGCTGTGGCATGGGCTTTTGCATGTGCCCGTTTAAAGATGTTATCTCTCGCAGCCAACGCTGTCAAGTTTCAGTTTTTGGTGGTATTTTTACTCTCAGGCAATTTATTTATTTATTTTTCAAAGAACTGAGAAAGCCAACCAACCCAGCCCACTGCAATGGGCCTGCTGGGATACCTTCCTGAGCACCTTGCGCTTGAGGGCGAGAAAATATTGACACACAAATACTGCTGCGGGCTCACTGCGGGTGCAAGCCCCAGAGAGCTAATAGATGTTAAAACCTGTTTACTTTAGCAGTAAATTGGAGCCATTCTCCCTGCTTGGCCGCTTTGCCCAGCCTCAAACCCACAGCGCAGCAACGAGTGGAGCTGGCAGGAAGCTGCGGTGTTCGTGTCTCGGCGTCCTGAAGCACAAGCACAGGAAGGACGCTGATCAAACAGCCCCCACACCACCCCACTGACCCCCTCGGGAGCCCTGTCCTCCTCTGGGGCTGGCAGAGGCTTTGTTCCTCCCTGGTTGCAGCCCCAGATCCTCCACGTGGGGCTTTCTGCTGCCCCAACAGCCAGCCTTGTCCCTCCCGGCACGACGCCTTCACGGGACACTGCAGCTGCCTGCAGGGCTGGAGGAGTGCCCCGCATGCCCAAGTTCAAGATGCCTTTCCCAAAAAGCTGTTTTCCCAGAGGTTTCCGCTGCCCCAGCACATGCGGCGTGACTCATCCCTGTATGTGTAAGGGCACTCGCTTTTCACGGCTTCCTTTCGCGTTTGCCAAAGTTTGCTGGAGGAAAATGGGATGATGCCTGTTCTGCTTGAAGGCCTTGTGATGCTGTGACACTGCGTTTGAGGAGAGCACTGCTACATCTCTGGTGTCTGCTGTTGGGAAACAAGAGCTTCTTGGTACCACAGAGAGACTTTAGGAGCATTTTTTTTTGCTTGGCTTGGTGGAGCAAAGTTTACAGGAAAAATAATAAGTGATGAGCACAAGCAAAACTGGTACAAGATCTCTGTGAGTATTTAAAAGTGATCTGAAATAAATCAGATTTCAGTGTAAGCTGGGGAAAAAAACAAACAAACAAACAAAAAAACAACATACAAACACGAAAGATCAATTCTGCATCAGTTACCTGGAGATCAGCGGTCTGCTGTGCCGTGCCCAGCTTTCCTCAGGACGCATGTGCTGAGTATGCCCTGTGCTGGGGACGGGGATGCAGGCAAGCACCTGCCAGGATGCAGGAGCAAGGAGGGCAGCGCCGTGCTCCCTGCTGGTACGGGTGACCCTGGGGACATCAGCTGGGGGAGCACAGCCAGCCCTGCGGAACAAACCCCTGAGTTTTGAGACCCTCGGCCCATGTGGCCGTTTCTGTTGGGTTATGATATCCCAATCCATCCATTTCACAGTTTCAGGTTCCGGGTCAGGTGGAGGAGAAGCAAAGCCAGAGCAGTGTGTTAGTGAGGAATGACACTTCTGGCAAGCCCACATTTATTCACAGAAATCTGGTTAGCCAGATTTGAAGCAGTTTTACTTAAATCTGTGAAGTTTCCGTCTGAATAAGGATTTTAAAAGCGAGCAGATTGTGCTACATCAAGCTCCCTGGTCCACTGCAACTGTCTGCAGCAAATGCTAATTTGGGGTAACACAGCCTTGTTGAAAGGGAAAAAATAAAATTGCAAAGGGAATTAGCTGAAGGAACATCCGTCCCAGTGGGTCGGAGTGATGATATTTTTATGTAGAGGCTTTAATTAAATGAACAGCATCTCCTTGTGCAAGCAGCTCCGGGCTGCGGCGGGGCGTTGAGGCACGGTGCTCCCTTGTGCCCTGTCCCAGGATGGCCGCAGCAGCGTGGCCGGGCTCGCTGCCCCATAAACACGCTCCGTGCCAGAGCAGCCTGCCGCGTGGGTCACTCCAGGTAAACCCAACAGGATGTGTGTGCTCCGACTTCCCTCGGCAGCGAAAACAGCCTCAGCGCCCCACCAGGAAACCGGCCCCGCTGCCAGGCGCGCGCTATCTGTCCGTCTGTCCGTCAGCAGCAGGGTGCCAGCGGGGTGTTTTGTCCCAGTGCTACACAAGTGGCACGAGCCGTCTGGCCAGGAAAAGTCCAGCATGCCCATTGTTTTTGTCACCCCTTGGGTGCTGCCTCGCATCCCGTAGGAGAGCTGGGGGTTTAAGGAGTGGGTCTGAGGAAAAGCAAGCTGGCTCTGTCAGCACCAGGGGAATGGATCATAGGGTGAGGAGTGCTGGAGAAGCTCTGTGGTGTGGTCTGGTGCCTCAGCTGCTTTTTTTTTTGGATGGTTTTGGCTGATCTGATCGAAGATGTGGCTTCTTGCCGGTGAAGCCCATAATTTTACCTGTGGGAGTCTTCTTGCTGTGAGCAGTTCTGGATTATTGGCAGGGACCAAGCAGGTGAAGAGTTTACTGTTAGGAGTGTCCTCTGGCCTTTGGTTTGGTCTCAAGCTCTTTCATATGCCCCCTGTTTGAGCAGCAGCACCTTTCAGAAAGTTCACTCCATCAGTCCTGCCCTTCATCCAACAGCCTGCACGTCTCCTTATGCATCGAGCCCCACCAAGGAGCTGCTTTCACTGCAGCTCGTGCTCAATGCGTGCTCCCCTGAGAACCTCACCTCTTCCATCGCTGCTGCTTCCCAACATGGGGGCACAGCCTGCCTTGCTCCCAAGCTGCCTTCCTCCACACTTACACATAAAATGGCATGAATAATGTATATTTTTTTAAATTTAAGATCACTCCTGTCTGGCCTCACTTTTCCTTAAAATTATCCCAGAGTGCCCGTTGCAAATAGAGGTTTATTTTGCTGTCGGATGGGATGCTATTGTGCTGAGACCCCAGTGCTCTGCTGGGCAGCAGCTGTGCAGCTAGGGGAGGCTGGCCAGGCTTCCAGCAGCACCCAGAGCCTGCTGCTCTTCACTTCTCCCTCCTAGGTCTTTCTGCACTGATTGGAGCGAAACTTGTTTTCTCATTGCTTCCCCCAACTGAGTAAATATGTGCTCAGTGCTGCGGCATTGTTCTTTGGTTTTGGGCTCTTTCCAGCTGATTAATTATTACAGCCACACAGAGGCCGGGTGGTTTTTGCAATGTGAGAATGGGGATGTGCGTCAGACCACTGGCCTGACTGGCCCAGTATCCTGTCTCCTGTGATGACTTGGAACAGGCGTTTGGGACAAGATTTTTGGAGCCAGGGCAAGGTTAGAGGTTTTTTTTTTGTTGTTGTTGTTTGTTTGTTTTGTTTGTTTGTTTTGTTTTTTGTTTTTCCTTGATAAATCCTCCCAGCATTTGCTAACCATCAATTTGGAGAATTTGTGAGCCGGAGGTTGCATCTTGACTGTATTCAAGAGTCCTGGTGGATACACCTTGCATGAATTTGACCAATTCCTTCTTGACCCCATTCATGCTCTCAACCACTGAAATACCCTGTGGCAATGAGTTTCACTGTCCAGCTAAATGTTGTGTGAAAAAACGTTCTTCAGCTGCTCCAGATCAACTGCCTCAATATTTAATTCTAAACCAAGCATTCAGAGATCTTCAGATATGAAGGCCGTGAAAGTGAAAATGTGCCCTCGCGCTCAGATTCCACAGAACCGTGCGTGTGGTTTGTGCACACCTTAAATCTCAGTTACCTCCCTTAAAAAACACGTTAGCAAGTGAAAGTCTTCAGCAGCACTCAGTAGACTCACATAACAGGTCCCAAATCTTTTAGGCCTACAAAAATCGGGTTTGCTGTGTCACTGGGGTGCTGAATGGAGACAACTGCTGTTTGTTGGGGGTGTCTGAATGGGGGGAGCCTGCCAGGCACCCCCAATGAGGCAGCACATACAAGTGCCTCTTGCCTCTGTATTTCCGACCATGCAGAGGAAAAAGCCCGTTGTGTGCAGAAAGCAGACCTATTTTAGGGTTGATATATATGTGTGTGTGTGTGTGTGTAAGCTCTTACTTCACCCTGCTGTCTGGTTTTCACTGAAGAGCGTTAACTTTCTTTCGAAGAGGAAGCAGGTGCACATGAAGGATTTGTTTTTGCAGGCATGCCACAGGGTGGGGGTGATGGCAGGAGGGGTTGCCTTTGCTCAGCAGCGGCTTTTCCTTGCTCAGAAAGGTGCTGGTACTGAGCTATCTGCTGAGGCTGGGTGTGCAGGCTCACAGGCTGCAGGCAGCATCGCCTTCCTGAGGCAAGCAGGAGTGAGCACACATACATGTCTGTGCACATGTGCATGCACACATACATGCATGCTGTCCCTGTGGCTGCTTGGCTGCTGAACAGCAAGCTGCCTTTACTTTTTATAACAGGCAAGTTTTTAAGGTGACAAGACAGCCAAAAGCAAAAGTCACTGCAAGTCCTTGGCCGTATACAGGCTCCTGCCTATAAGACATTAGAGGGAAGGGAAGGTGACACTGAATATTTCACTTTCCTCTTCTTTCTGTAGGGAGAGGGGGGATTTCTGTTCTTTCCAGCTTGGATGGAAGTAGCAATTGGGATCCACCTATTTTAAGAAGGATTTACTGGACAGAGAAGTCCTTGGCATGGCTACTTGTCCAGAAAGTAGGCTGAGACCATTGTTCTTTTCCCCCTAATTCACAGGCTTTCCAAAGAAACCGGATTTAACCAGAGGTGATTTTTTTTTTTTTTAATCCCATTGCTCCACCAGTCTGTTTACTGTTTTGTAGTAGCTGCGGATGAAATTTTCTTTCATTGCATAGGATTTACACACCGAGGGAAGTGGAGTATGTGGGCCATGCCCGTTGGCCACCATCACCTCTTCTACAACACCCGTGTGCAGGACTGCCGTGCAGGCACTGCTTCCCCACGCTCATCTGCAGAGCTTGTGCCCTCACAAGTGCACCTGATGGCCTCAGGGAAGGGCAGAGAGAGGGAGGACACTGCAGACAGACAAATTTCCCATTTGTCCTTAACAAGTGACCCTCATGGCAAGACTGATGCCTCCATTATGTTATTTTTACTTTGCCTTGCAATGAATCCAGAGTTTGTGAGCATATCCTGCATCCTGAATTGATTTTTATGTTTTTTCCTAGCAGCAGTGAGACAATTTCCAAATGCATACATGATGTATGATGAATATATCCGATTATACATCTACAGGAGAATAAGTTGTGCTGGCTCTGCATTTGTGTTGTGCTTCAGCAGTGGGTAACGGTACCCAGTGAGCTTATCACATCCCACAGGCCCCATGCGCTGAATAATCGTGTGAGTTGGACGAGAGCTGCTCCCAGTCCACCCAAGAAGACTTTCCTACTCCAGATGTGTCATGGTTTAACCTGGGCCATGCCCCTGGTGCATGGCAGCCTGCTCCGTGCCCCAGCAAGGCCTGGTGTTGCTCAAGGTGGTGACTTACGGTGCGGCCTGCGTGCTGGGCTCCTCACGTCAGCCAGGCCCTGCCGAGCAGGAGGGAGGGGAGAAAAGAAACAGGAACTGCTCTTTGGGACCAAATCATCACAAAACTGAGAGAAGAAGCGAAATTTTAGATGAAAAGGATGGCTTTTAGTGGAATATGGTGAACTTGGTAATCTTACAGGGAGCTGTTCCCATGCTGTGGCCTGTGGACGAATGGCTAGATTCAGGACATTTCAGCTCCTCATTTCCAGTTGCTAATCTGCATTAAACATTAGATACCATTCTGCGAGGCATTCCCTGGGTGTCTTCCCATGCACAGGGAAATCTCAGACACTCTCTGGAGTGAAAATTAGCCAAACAACACTGCTTACTCCTCAGCTTCTGTGTAGGGATATAAAGTGCTAAATGCAAGAAGGTGCAGTTTTGTATGCCCACTGTGGTCAGCATGGTAAGTCATATACATCTCTTGGCTTAAGAAGAAATAGCAGGAAGGAAGGAAGGAAGAGAAAGAGAAAGAAAAAGAAAAAGAGACTGAAAGAAAAAGAGACTGAAAGAAAAAGAAAGAAAAAAAAAGAAAATGAGATCAAAGCTTTAAAATTAGCTACCCAGTGCTGAAAGAGGTATCAAGTTAAAATATATAATTGCCAGTCTGACTGTTAAAACAGTATATCTATTAAACTAAAGCATTTTATATACCTTCTACCCAACTTTGTCTCTTTCCACCAAATCACTTCAGCAAGTCCTCAGATTGATGGAAATTCTCATGTGCCGAGCATTATCTGTGTACCTGTGTGCTTGGTTGGCTATCTGCTTATCAGGACACAAGAGCTGCTTTGGGAAGGAAGCCAGTGCTGGTGACGCTGGTGTTAATGAGCGAGCAGTGCAGGATTCAGAAGCTGCTGATTCAGAGCAGGATATCTGTTCCTTTCTGGAGACAGTTGTAAGCTTGACTCTCTACCAGACGTTATGTTTTATCATCTGCTGTAAAAGGTTCCTGTGCAACTTGTTCTGAAATCCTGGAGATACTCCTCTATGTTCTGAAATAAGTATTGGAGTACATCCAAACCTTACTAAGCCAACTCATTAAATATATTTGCATTATACTGAGCATGCAGTAAATAATAGTAATGCTAATACTAATACTACTAATAATATAGGATTTACTGCATAACACAGCTCTAGAAATTTAATACTGAGGAAGACTAGCTGGCCTTTTTGAAGGTAAGATTATTTCCAGGATCCTAACTGAAAATGCAGCTGCTTATGTTCAGATGTTTCTATCTGACTGCAAACTGGCCCATTTCCAACACAAAACCAAAAGTTCTGCTATGGCACTCACATTAAATTGCAGCCCTGGATACATCCATCTAAGAGGAGAACCATGCAGAAGTGGCCAGAGGACTGTCTGGGAGTACAGACACTGCTGCATGGGAAGACTTTACCTTCCTGTATGGTCCATAACACTGCAGACTTCAGGCTGCCCCTGCCTGGAGACCTCCTGAGTTCTTTCCACCTCAGTCTTCCTGTGATCCTGTGAGCCTAGAGCCATAACTACATTGCAGAGTATGCTTGCCGTTTTGTTGTAGCGAATTCTCTGATTGCTGTCACGATTATCTCTTTTAATTTGACAAGGACCCCATGTTCTGCTGCCTTTTGGAGCATGGCAACAGCTTGTGATGAGCAGCTGAACCTTTTCTGTTGCCTCCAAGTAATGACAGTGTGTGTGGAGGGGGAGGAAGCAACTTGCAGAAGGGGGAAATCTAACTTCGGAAGATGCCATTATGGATGAGTGCAATGTCCTGACTTTGGACGCGAGTTTTAAAAAGAAGCATTTAAGTTCCTTTATTGAACCAGTAGTGGCCTCCATCCCAAAGAAAGCCACGTGTAGATGGGAGATTTTGGGTTGTGATCCCTACTGTGTGGTTCGTGAGTCCATGGAAAAGCAACAAAAAGCTTAAAGCAGCTTAGCAAGGCACAGAGAGCAGAGAAACCATTGTAGTGAGGATGCTTGAGCTTGTGGGCTGACCAAGGGTATGTGGCCAAGGCTCGAGGAAAGCCAAGGGATGAAGAAGCATAAGGTAGCAGGGATTAGTGCAGATCCCTCTGTGTAGCTGGAGCACATCTGCAAAGATGGGCATGAAGGACAGAGCAAGGCAAACAGGCTGACCTGGCAGCTACACGGGTCCATCAGTCACAGAGTTGCAGTGCAAATGAGAAAAAAACAGGTTTTTCTCCATTGTCAGGGACAACTGGGGTAGGACTTTGCTTGTGTTTAACTAGAGTTGACAGTGAATGAAACCATCTCAGCCACCCAAAAAGAGGTGCAGGAAGCATCAGGCTTTGCATTCCTCTTTCACATTGAAAGAAAAATTATTCCAGGTGAAATAAAATGTTCTGGAAAGATGGAAGGAAAAGGAGTGGACATAGGCAGAGGCAGGGCTTTCCCAAATATACCTGAAGATGCTCAAGAACTAGAGTTGTGTCTAAAGAGTGCTTTGCAAATGGGGTGAGCTGCCCACTGTCTTTTCTCCACTCCCCGGTCTTCCTTTTCTGCACAAATGTAGCCAGGACCAGAGTAAAGGTAAATCCATGGTAACCCACTGCCCACACCCCAGCCTGTAGATAAGCCCTTTGAGGTTGGGGTTTCATGTCATTTTTGTGTCAGGTTGAAAAATGCTTCTAGTGGCAATAAAAAAAATCCCCACCTTCCTTTCGTTTCACCTAAAGAGATCTCATCAAGTCACTCTTGTAAAAAACGCACCCCTCTCTCAAGTGGTTTGACAGGATTTTTGCATCCTTCTGATCTGCGGGGATTTTTCCCCCGTGTGTGCCCAGGTAGGCAGTGTCACTCGCTTCCAGGCTCCACATCAGCTCATTTCTTAGAAAGCACAAGCCATGCTGAAAAGCTTTCTGAAATGTCGCTGCATGCCTTAGAAAGCAAAATGCTGCTCTGTTAGCACCATGGTGGGAAGGTTTGGAGGGGACGAAGCAGCCGTGCAGCCCTGGGCAGGCGGCTGCCACCCCTTCGGTCTGCTGCAGCTCGGGGGTAGGCAAACAGAAAGTAACAGTGATGCAATTTGATGGCATATTGCATTATGCAATGGAGCCAGTTTAAAAATAGACTCCTTGGTGCGAGTCCAAGCTGCCAGTGTCCCCACCAGGTGCAGAAAGCCATGCCGTGAGACACTACCACCAATTTCGGTGGACTGAGCCTGTTTGGCTCTCCTGTTGAGAAGCCCCCGCATTTCACAGGGTGTGGGCAGAGGCAGTGTGGCATGTTGGTTTCACCCATACTCCAAAACTGGAAAAAGGTTGCAACAAAGAAAAAAAATGGGACCTGCACTGCCCTTGGGACACTTGTATTTCACTGAAAAACAAGTTATAGCCCCACAGCCCTAGGACTTGTTATGGTAAGCTGGTTTAGCAGAAGGCCAGAGGATGCTAAGATCACTCTTACAATACACGTACTCAAGGGAAACCAATCTTCAAGTACTTGCTTTCGCAATGAGAGCATGAGACTACCCAGTGGTCCATTTACATAAGCCAAAAGCAGTATTTCAGTCAGAAAAACTGCAATCTGAATCAGAGGTTGGCTATTAGATAGTTTAATGAGGACAGCCTGTTCTCTGCACCTTACATATTCACCCGCCCCTACAGATTTGCAGATGGTTTATGAGATGTTATGGGCTGCTCTCTGACAGCTGCAAGATGTTCAGGTTGTTTACAGAGACAAGGAGAGAACAAGTTCAGCCCTGGCCCCTTCCCCACCTACATGCTGGGTTATATCTGGTGTGAAGAGAGAGCCCAATGCTCGCACTTAACCTCCCCGACCCCACTTCCATTGGCAGAGCTGAAGATGGGAGGAAAGAAAAGACTGCAAACCTGTGCACAGTGCAGAAGTTCACTTGGAGATCCAGTAGGATTCCTCCAACACCCCGCTCTGCGACATAGCCTTAACCTCGTTACCATTATTCTGATTGATGCTTCTCTTTTGTATGATCTTACTGGGGAGAAAAGGAGCCTCGGGAGGAGATCTGCAGCTGCACACCCAGAACAGATACACTAAATTATCTGTGGCTTCAGCATTACAGAAAAATCCTTTGCCCTGCTAACGCATCTACCGGTCCTTTTTGGGCTTGTCATCACTCAGCAATTCTTTGTGTTAAAACACACTGCTGTCAGCGCTGTGTGAGATGCTTAAACAGGAGGATCTGTGTTCTGGCTAATGCCAGCAAGTGATGATGAAACTTTTCTGGGAAAAAGTATTCGACAGCGTTAGCCAACAGAAATGTAAGGTGACCTATCTCAAGGAAAAATGCCACGTATCAAGCAGCAAAGGGGAAAAGGCCTGTGGCTGAGGGAGGGAAAGGCTTGACAATCAGCACTGCCTGCTGAGGGAAGGGATTACTATCATCTGGGCTTTCCTTTGCTGGCAAATAAATTAGCTGCAATGGCAGATAGTGTTTAGAGAGACTCCTGCCTACCCCTGCAACAGCTCTGAAGCCTTAGACTATCAGAAGAGCAAGATCTGGAGCTTCAGCATTGTGTGTGCTGAGGGGGCTGCGTCCAGCTGCTGTCTCTGATGGTCCAGCCTTGCCCTGTCCCAAGGTGTGACAAAAGCTGACTGCATCCTGAAAGCTGGAGCAGCTGAGGATCTCTGCTGACAAACGGGAAGGCTGCCTAGCTGGCTGAGGGAAGGGCTGTGAAGTCTGCAGGCTTGTGCATCATCCTCCCAGGAAATACGCTTTGGGTATCAGGAGATGATAACAGATCATTCTGCTCAGGGTGTGAGGAAGATCCCTCCTGCACAATGGGAGATGTGGCTGGGCAGAAGGTCTGGGAGAATTATCTTTGTAGGATTGAAGGAAGATGTGTGATTTTTCCCAGTTTCCAGGAATTAATGGTGAATGGTAAGATCAGCTGGTTTGACTTCTGTGAACATTATATTATTAACATCTGGGAACGGCAAAATGCAACTGAAGATCCATCAAAACAGCGGCTTGCTAGGATCCAGGATTTCATAAGGGGCGTAGCTTCTCCTGGGACTCTGAGAACAAAATAAAGACCAGATGCAACCAGCCAGCACCCCAGCTGACTCCAGAGCAACTGAAAGGCCTGCTTGGGTATTTGGAGCCTTAGAAGTTGGAGATTGATTGCAGGGCACTTCTTGGCTGATGTTACAATTAGGAGACCCCAGAGTGCTGTAACTCTATTCAAATAAGTGATTGTGAGGCAAAGATCATAAATGGTGCAAAAGGCAGTGGGCCTAGGTCTGAGGGTTTGCATTAGTGGACTGTAGGATGCCCAAATCAAAAGGAGTGCAAGCCTTGGATTATGGGAAGGGGGGGGGGGGGGAGGGAAGAAAGAAAAGAAAGGAAGAGAAGAGGATCTAAAAGCAGTAGGAATCCTATGTACTTCTTGTATGCTAAAAACCTAGGAAAGTTATGGTTTTAAGGGGCAAAAAGAATGCATTAATCTTGATTTTGTTTGACTAGGGAGGCCCTAGACTTCAGACACACAGTGCTCCTGCTTCTGTATCATAGTGGATATTGCACCCTGAACATTTTGTTCACTTTGGCATTGAACAGATGGCAAGAAACTGGAAGGGATTCAAACAGCAGTAGACGAGATGTAAGAGACACTGGAAGAACTGGCTTGAGAAACAAGCAAGCAAATGCAAAATTAGAGATGGGAAATGTGCTAGAGCTATTTGGAGAGCATAAAGCCACCGAGAGAGGGGAACTTCTTAGTTTAACAGAACAGACCATAATCAAAAGGAGAGCACCATGAGTAACCCAGTGCTTTGGCAAGCAAGTACGAGCTGATGGTGCTGCGCTGATGTAAGCTGCCTGTCCTTTCTCTTGCCCTTCTGCTACAACTGAGGCACAGCAGAGCAGGCAGCACAAGCTCCCTCAGAGAGCTTGGGGAGCTGGTAAGTGGCTCAGAGAAGCAGTGTGGCTCAAACAGCTTTGCCTTATGCCCCCAGGTGTTGGGCTGTGGGCAGGCAGAGCCATGCAGTGCTGGGGCTGGAGGCTGTGCCTGGTGAAGGTGGTGGTGCCACCTGCCCTCCCTGTGAATGGGGCCTGCTGAGCATCCTCCTGGCTCCCCTTTCTCACTTTCCAACACTCGTCTCCATTTCCAAAGCTGGCCAGCAGAAAGCTGCAGATGCCCACAGTGAACCCATCAAAAATATCTTCCTGCCTTATGTTGGAGCTCTTCTGTGGCATGTGGCTTCTTCACAGCTGGCGGTGTTCTGTGGGATGCCTGTGCCTGCAGCTGAGCAGAGGGGTGCTGGGTTCCTGGAGGGATGTTCACCCGCAAACCCATGTGCCCGCACCCTGGATGCCGCAGCAGCTCAGGCCAGCAGTGCTGCTTGCGGCCTCCCCTTTTGTGGCTGGGGCAACTGTTGTGTGATGAAGTGTGTTGGGATCTGGGCCAGGAGCAGGGCTGTGGAAAGGAAAAACAGAAAAATAACAACAGCAAACATGGCACGATGTCAAGCCGCTGACATTCAGGCAGCCCTCCCGCCTGGCGTCAAGGCTGCGCCCCTGCAACCGAGCCTCATCGCGGCCTGCCCCGAGTCGCCTCATGGAGCAGCCCATGAGCTGCTGCTTTCTTTCTCCCTCATGGCAAACAAGAACAAACTGTACCTACTGCTCATCCTGTTGTTCTTTGGGGAAGGGGTCCAGACAATGAAACACACAGCACCAAGCAGCCAAGCTGACAGAGCAGGCCACGTGCGGCGGGATGCCAGGCTGCAGCGCCTCGGGTATTGGTCTGAGCCAGAACAGCTTGCACCCGCTTTGGTGGAAATCCCCCTGCTGAAAGAGAGGGGTGTTATGAAATCTGCCTGCCCCACACACGTGGGAGCCAGGCAGGAGTAGTGGGATGTGGAGCCAGCCGCACACAGCAGCCACTGACCTCTGGCAGGCTGGGACCCCCGTCCCCAATTTCCAGGATCGCAAAGCCCTCGCCAGGCTGGCCTGCTGCACGGGGAGGATGAGGGGGTATTGAGGGAAGAAGGTTGTTTTCTAAACAAGGGAAGGGGAAATTGCCTCTGTTCCCAGGCAGGGTGGCAATAAGAGGAAATGCTGTTTTGTCCCAGCCGGTCTCTGTTGGCTTCGCAGGACTTTTGGTCACCACCAGCCTTGGTAACCGCTGCCTGTAGGCAAAACACTCCAAGGCAGGGATGCCGTGAGGAGAAACACTTTAACCCAGCTTTTAACTGAGTGCAAGCAGTGCTCTGCCCAGTCCTATCTCCCCACCATCAGTTTCACTTCACACTGAGGTGCCAAATCTGCATGGTTTAGCCCCAGGCAGCCCACAGCACATCAGCCCAGCCACGGCGCAGCTGTCTGCAGCAAGCCCCGTCCCTCACGGGTGGAGGTTGCCAGCACAGCAATTTGGCCGTGGGTTTGGCTGCAGCTGAGAGCTGAAGCACTCGTGTGTTTGGGCTGACATCTAGTGTCGGTGTGGATGAGCCCAGAGAAACCAGCCCTGCTTCTCCCGGCCTGCCAGTGATGAGGAAGATGGTTTGGTGCTTCTGCTGATTTGACTGCAGGTCTGACCCATAACCCACGAAAATCTCTTCTTCTATTAACTACTGAGGAAAATAATAACAATGGGTCGCTCAAAACGTTAGTGAACAAATGGCCTGGAAGTCACAAAACCAGCTCAAGTTGCTTTGCTATTTTGTTGTCACCTCCTCGTGAAGCATCACAAGGACTAGGGACTGGTCTTGAGCAGTAGAAGTCACTTACAGGGAGGAAGGTAGTTGACGCAGTACCACCTAATGGTAGGATATGATTTCAAGGCACTTTTCCCATCAAAATCATTTGGTATGGTCTTCAGTAAACCCTGTAGCCACTGCCTTGATTTGTTATTATTGGCTTGAGAGCCATATCTCATGTGGGCTAATCCTCCTTGACAGATCTTTCCACAAAAGCCAGCACACCAGCTCAAGTCAGTTCACCCTAATGTCTGTCTCACTCCCAAGATGGGTACTTCTGAGACCTACAGAGTTTTCGGAAGCCACTCGTGGACTCAGCCCCTCCATAGACCTGTGGATTGCGACAGGATGGGCAACGTGTCCTTGTAATGGGCACTTCCCAAAGAAGCAGGAACAGGATTTGGGTTTGGGAATACATGAAGCAACAGGAAAATATGTCGCTGCTGTCCCTACCCCCTGCAACTGGGAGGGAGACCCATGCAAGAGGATGCCTGGTGCTCTAGCCCCAGCTGGCAGTGTTTGCACAGGAGCAGGCTTTTGGGCACTCTGAAAGGGGCAGATGAGGTCATGGAGCAGATCTCTCAGTGATGCTGCAGGCACCCTGACACTACAGTTTGCAGCTCACAAGACTGCTGCTGCTGTTTAACCCTTAAATGCCCTGTCTTTCCTTTCAGGTTCCCCATCTAATAGGAGTCTTAGTCAACCAGGGAACTCACAGTTAAGCTCAGATGGCACAGGGCACTTTGTCCAACCAGAAGTATTTCCTCTGTACACACTTCAACTCTGGAAAGTACATGGAGACACTTTATATAACTGTGAACCATGTAAGGACAAAGTATTCCCTCATATTGTTCTGGCTGTGGTATATTTTACTTCATGCAGTGTCGGAGTATATACATGTCTACATTTATGGCTGCTGTTTATATTAAATACAGTCCTCTCTTTTTCTTCATTACCACATTAGCAATATTTTTCTCTGCTGCCCTTACTTTACATGCTATCTCCTTCCCCAGTGTAAAACCAAAATAGCAAAAACTTGATCTTGGGACATAAAAAGTGCCACTGCAAAACAACTTCTGCAGAGGAGCTGCAGCAGCTGAAAGCATCCATCATTGACAAGGATGGGGCTGATAGCATGAACAATGTACATCGAGGGTAACATCAAGGCTTTGGGGTTTTCTAATCCTCGTTCATTAAATCAAGATAATCTAGGGACACACATTTTTCATTGCTATGAACACCTCTGGTTTCATATCTCATAAAGCCATGTGATGCTTTTGTTTTGAGAGAAGGGGCACTGACAGATGCACAACGGCCACACAAAATGCAACAGCCTTGCATGAGCAGTCTGGGGTTTCTGCCCATGGGCTACCCTGGATGAAGCCAAGGTTCAGGATCTGCTGTTTCCCTTTTCCTTCACCAGCACAACTGGAACAGAGCTGTTTAGCCAGAAATGAAAACCAGCTGCTCACATGGGTAGGATGGCTGGCATTTGGTGTCCAGACCTGTTTCTCCCCTCCCCATTGTCCTGTGGGTTGGGATGTTGGGATGAGATGATGCTCCCTCCTGGGACCACCAGCTGCAAGAAACTGGCACTGACTCTCACACCAGGACCGTGCTGCTTTCCTGTGCTGGGAAGCAGAGGATGAGAGCTCCTTTGGTGAGCTCAGGGGCTTATTTTATGGCTGTGAGATGTTACAGAACTGGCGGTGACACAATGCTTTTTCTGTGCAGATACCAGATTTAAGCCCATGGAAGCATGGTTGGAAACAGCCAGTTGGTGTCCTGGTGGCCTGTGCTGTGCGTAAGAGCTCAGTATTACAGCTCCGAAGCCTGTGATGTCTCCATCTGTGTGACCATCCCTCCAGAAACTGCCATGCTTTTTCATGGCCACTGCTGTCCAGGTTTCCCTATGGCACTGAGGAGAGCCCTGAAGGATGCTGGAGGTACCTGGGGACGACGTGGTGCTGGGCAAGGGGCAGCAGGAGCTGTCTGCACATCAGGTGAGAGGTGTTTGCATCAGGGAGAACCAAGCTGGTGTTGTGTTAATGCAAGCCCATTAAAGCACCCCTTAAATGCCCGCTGGCGGTGATGGAAATGGCCCTGCTTGCCCTGAGATTGCTGCCCCTCAGCGGGTGCAGCCGCCTCCAGCAGGTGGGGAAACGGCAGCTGTGTAGGAGCTGAGCGAAATAAGCCAGACTCCAAACAAGCAGAGCAAAAAAGCCCGTAACCTTATTTCTTGGGGGAAGGAAAAAAAAAAAAAAAAGATACAGTTTTTCAAATGCTTCTTGCAGCTGCTAAATGCATTAGCAGCCGTGGTGCATCTTGAATGGGCAGTTGTGGTAGAAGAAGAATAGCTTCTCTGTGGTGATCTGGTGCCCGTGGCAGGTGTTCGGGAGATGATTTATTGCCTTCCTGCTGGAAGCTGGGCAGCCACATTCAGTGCTCACGTGGTATGAGGTTCTCTTCCATCATCTCCAAACTTCCTTGAAAGAGCTAAGTACTCTGCCACCTATTTTCACTTTTAAAAACCTATCAGAGCAGGGGTTTGCCTGTGTTATCCATGCCAGAAGAAATAAACCCTTACTGGGAATTAGAGGCACCGGGTCATTGGCCCTGGAAGTCATTACATGGTGTCCATTCCCAGCAGCTGACAGTGCTGTAGGAAATGTCAGGTTTCTGATTTTTGTTTTGGTGGTGGTGGTTGGTTGGTTTGGTTTGATTTGTTGGATTTTTTGGGGGAGGGGGGAGAGAGGGTATTTTTGGTTGTTGTCATGTTGCTGCCACGCTGTGGACTAGCACATAAAGTAGGGAGAGAAAATATAGAAAATAAACTGGGTGCTATCAAAACATATTAGGCAGAAAGCTTTGCTGGCATACAGATGTCCCAGGGGCTGGTACAGGAGGAGCAGTCCATACTTTGGATTTTGGAGCCAGGCAAGGTGGAAATAGTGCCGGTGCTGGACCACCAGAGGAGATGGTGGTCGTCTCCAGTAAAACAAGGTGGAAACAAATTCAGGGAAAGATGAACTTCCCTGTGGAGAGAAACCCTCAGATCAACAGAGAGGGATGCTGTGTTGGGTAGGCAGCAGGGACACCATTCTGCTCATTTTCTGTCAGCCAGGCAGCAGAGATGTTGTATTTAATGCAGGATAACCACCACTTTGCCATGTCTTTCCACTGAGAGTGAACAGCAAGTCCTTGGGCCAGGATGCCTGCTCTTCATATGCTATTTGTTTCTGTGATAAATGAGGAGTGATGAAAGAGGAAACTTTTTACAGGGTTTGAGGCACTGACAAGACAGTCTTTGGTGTCCTCTTCTTCCACTAGAAGGAAAGAAGTAGGAACAAGAAAGATGTCCTTAAATGTTTAGACCATTTTCAGTGCTATGTGACTAATGGTTTTTGCATGTAAATCTTTGCTGCTTTTCAACATTAGTTTTGTCTTTTGAAAACCAGGGGAGACCTAGCAAGAGAACAGGGCTTACACTCAGACAGGAAATCAACTGTCATTTTCTCAGCCTCTAGAACCAGAGATACTTTATATACTATATATATATATACTATATATACTATACTATATATATAGTATATATATACACTATATATACTATAGTATATATATACACTATATATATACACTATATATAGTATATATATATATATATACTATATATATACTATACTATATATATATATATATATGTTATACATATATATATACACATAATCTCTCTATATAATATACGTATAGTTTTGAAAAAGAAAAAAAAATATCTAAAAAGCAAAGATAGGCAGCTTGGCCTGTCAGTGTTCAATTCTGTTACACTGAGCTGATGAATGAAAGTTTCCTTATTTTTAACATAAGGATGTCATTCCAGCAGTAGCTAATTTTCCAGTAATTTATCTTCCTCCTCAAAAACGGCGCAGTGCCAGCAGCTTTAACTGGGCCACGCAAAGCACCTGCCAGCTGGAGACCTCTGCAGGGTGCCGTGCCTCTCGGGCTAAATGAAGGAGGGGATAAAATACTCCCTTGGCAGGCCCCGGGCAACCCAAGAGATGCTGCTGGTGGAGGAGACCCAGAAGAAGAGCATATCCTGCTGGAAGGGTCTTGAAGAGGGCTTTGGCAAGAAACCAAAGCATCACAGTCTTGGGACCTGCTGGGAAGGTGGTTGCCCAAGGAGGAGACTTTCCTACTGTTCATTTCTCTGCAGTGTGGGCAATCAGAGCTTCTTCTCAAAGGATACTGTAGTGCCACCCAAAATTACGGACACCCCTAACTCCTCTTTGTCATTTCTGCTAAAGCAAACAACTCAGAAGCAGCACACTCTAGTGGACAAGCCTTCAGGCTGAAGCGTGCAAGGGCAGCTGGGCTTTATCTGTGCTCTCTGATTGCTTGTTTGTGTGCATATGGCCCACGGGCAGACCGGAGTCCACCACGGAGCAAGAAGGGCAGACACGTAAGGTTTCCACATTCTCCTGTCAGCAGTGGTAAGAGGGGGGAGCCTCAGGTGTTCCTAGGAAAGGTGGGGTCGGTTGCAAACATCCTGACTTGAGGGTGTCTGTACGAAGGGAAGAACATAATTATGTCAGCTAAGCCAGAGCTTTAAAGAAGATGCCCCACACTGGGACTTCCTGGGACAGACTGCAGGAAATATAAAGAGGAGGCTTCACTGCAGTGTGTAATAAAATGCTTACGTGCAGGAGAGCAGAATGTCACGTGCTGGGTTGTCCCCACCACTCAAATTAGGACATGTGGTTATAAATCTCAGGAGAGTAGCAAAAGAGCAGTGACATCAAGCCTCTAAGTAGAGGCACCTCAGAAATGGGATGTGGACGTGGCGTCGTGAATGCAAAGTCCCTGCTGAAGGACTAAAGTCCCTCTGAGGTCTGCTCTGGATTGCGTTAAGTCAGAGATAAAGCGGACGGGAATCAGGGCAATTTATCTCAGACAAACTCCTTGTAAGTACCTGGATGGAGGAATTTCATCAGCTCCTCCCAGGGCTGAGGACTTTCCTAGGTAAAGGCCCTGTCCCAGGCTGTGTCCTGCCCACGCTGAGACGGGCTCAAGCCCTGAGCTACACCTTAGGATTTCCTAAGCAGAGCACTCAGTGAGTGAAAGCATCACCCTCATTACATGACCTTGCCCTCCCCCAGCATCTTACTGGTGGTGGCTGGGGATGGACCTTACCCGTAAGGAGACCTGGCACAGATCTGAAGTGCTGAAGGGACCTGGAGACCTGGAGAAGTTATAACTTGCTGACAGAGAAACACCCTCTGCTGGAAGGCAGCGGCTGTGCGAATACCACCCTGCCCAGAGCACAGGTGGGACTGTAAAACCACCTCTCTGCTCTGCGAGGTGACAGGGACCCATTGCTGTTGCAGGCCTTTAGTCTGCCTGCCAGGTAAGAGCTTCAGCCTCCAACGAGCACGTGCTGAAGAGTGAGCTGCAGTAACCAAGAGCCAGACCGATGCCACCAGAAATACGACAGCCGAAATGACGGCAGTGCAGTGGCACATGGTAAAAGCAGTGGCAGCTGTAGGCCACAACTTGCTCGGTAGCACGGGCAGCGGGGCAGAGCTCAGCCTTTGGGGATGAATTATAAATGATCTCAGGTTGGCTTCAGTAACCACAGTCAGAATCAAGGGCTTTTTTCGCTGATATGGCATGCTGTGAGCAAATGCCCATGGCTTCCAGTCACTGATGTCAGGAGTTATAGCTGAACACTGTGTAACCTCCAGGCCATGAAGGATGCCAAATGCAAAGTATTTGGGAGCTTTCAAATAGCATTTTATACTAGCCCCAGATGGTTTACTTTGCACCTGTACTAAGTTGAAGCCAATGTTGTAAGTCTCTTTTGTGCTCAGTTTAGAAGGGTACCAGAAATATCAAACATGTCATATTATTTTATTCTTGGAAGGTAGGCACAGAAGCACTAATTTGCCAAATATTTGGCCTCTCAAATTACCCCTCATTTAAAGGAAAAACCCGAAATCCAAATACTTAGCTGAAACAGGTCTCCACTTGGCTACCAGTAGATGACTTGTTGGATTGTTAGACTTAATGCTTACCCTTTCAAATGAGGTCAGACTGTAACACAGACGTTATTTTGTTGACGATGGGTTATTTTTTATACTAAACAAATTAACTGATTTTGATTAATTTGCTTAGCTTCCCAGGTTTCCATCCCCACCTGAACCACTGCATGCTGATCCCTGTTTCTGGTACAGCAGTAAAACCCTTCGCCACGGTCTCTCACCACCCAAGGGAGCGACCAGACAGCAGAGACAAGCAGAGAGCTCAATATCCAGTTGCTCGGAACCAGCCATCTGTTTTTGCCATCTAACAAACCCTACTGGGTGATTTCGACAGAGAGAGCTGTCTTGTGTAAGGTTTCCTCAACACAGTAAAAACTTGTGCGTTACAAGGCACCGCGTGCAGGCAAGCACGGTCTTGGGCTAATTAAGTTATGATGTTGCACAGACGTGCGTTAGAGATGTCAGGGAGGCACTGGGGGTGGAGATGGGTTGATATCCAAGCAAAACTGAGATATTTTGGATGAATGGAGACTGGTTTCGGCCTGTGGCTAAGATACCCTCTCCCAGAGCTGGACAGTCCTGTGCTCAGACACGGCTGAGGGAGGAGATGATCTGCTGAATCAGCCATGAGATGCCATCACCTGGTGCAGGCTTCTCAGCCTCTTCTGACCTGAACTGCTTTGTACTTCCCAGTGTCAGAGACCCACCAGGTAGTGAGTTTAAGCCCACTGGGCTCAAATAGCAAAGTTATCCATATGACTTTTGACTGTTGCAGGGAAGTGGGGAGTAGGAGATCTGTAGGGCTGCTCTCCTAACATCTTGACTACCTGGGCTGAGACACTCAAAGAACATTTGACTGGGGCCTAGCTGTCCAGCAGGGCCACCACAGTCCCAGTCTGATGTACCCGTTACCCAGAGTGTGGATGCTTCTGGTAAGGTAAGCCACATACCCGCCAAACAGATTCAAGGAGAACTGTGCCTCAAGAAGCTGAGAAAGATTACCACTCTTCTCCAGGAAAGCTGGAGCTTCTAGCCTTGAAATGCTCCACAGCTAGCCAGTGTGTGATTTCCCTTCCTGTATCTATCTGTACGTGACTGACAATAAGAGCAACTCATTTCCTGCATCTCAAATTCCTCAAGACTGCATTACTGCACACCAGAAGACTGCAGAAGTAACAGACTTTATGCTAAATATCATTCCTGAAGGTCTGATGGAGCAGCAGATGCTTTGTCTAATGGGCTGCTCCACGCAGAAGCCCTGGTAAGAAGGCACGGCACAGGAGCAAAGGCTGATAAAGCTGACTTCCACCATTCAACCCACAAAGAGATGGCGAATTATGAGTTTGCAACCAACAGTACTAAACTTCTGCAGCAGATAATTTCCACCAAGGTGAGGCCTTCTGTCAGCTCCGAAGGCAGATACAAGTACTGCCAGAGGCTTTCTCTTGAAGCCAGCAGAGGAGCTGGTACCAGCTGTGATGTTTCCAGTTTGGGCTTGGTGGGGATGGGAGAAGAAGGACCTTACTCAAGCAGTGTTCTGACCTTAAAACTTCAGACGGGCACAAACCCTCTACCTCTCCTTCAAAGAGACACAAGCAACTTATTACTCCCCTCGAGGCCTTTTTGTCTGGAGGTGGCCATGCCTTTTTTGCTAATGAGGAAAAAAAAAGCAACCAAACACGTAGGTCAGGCTGTGTTGGCCAAAGTGTTTAAGTACTGCTGTATGAGGGAGGAACAGGACATCAAAAGGAATTACAAGACAGCGAGTCTTGTCATGCTTTCTCATCTTTCTTCTAGAAGAGAAAGGACAATTTTCCTCTCTGGAAAATCTCTCCAGTGTTTTGCTTTTAGCAGCTTTTGTCCTGGCGTATGCTCCTGGATGTAAGAGCAGCGACCACGAAACGCTGGGGAGCAGCTGGCACATCTGACCAGCCAGGCTGAACCAGCAGCGTGAGCCTGGAGAACGCGCTTTCATTTCCATCACCATGCTTGTGATTTCAGCAGGACAAAAAGAAATCAGAGATTCACAGGCACTGGAGGCAGTATTCCAAAGATGAAAACCTGCTTTTTGCCAAGAGGATTTCCTGAGCAGCCTAAGTGGCTGAGGATCTTGTTACAAACAAAGTTTTGATCAGTGGGGTATCTCCTCATGCACAAATAGGGCTTAGGGATTTTCTTTCCTGTATTCACGCTTCTTCCAGAACACGGTATAACAGCTAACTTGTGCAAACTGCTGTCCCTGGACTCCACTCGAGCCCTGGTAGCTTTTGTAAGAACTTTTGTTTCAAAATATTGTTGTGCTGGAGTCTCCAAGGCCATCTGGGGCTTTGTGCAGACTGGGTGCTTACAAATGAATGTGAACCAAAGCAAATCAACATTGCTTGGCAGGGATGAAATGTATTGCTAGGGTCTGTCTCTGCCAAGCTAGACTGCTTGGCTCGGGTCCCACTCTTCAGGGGAATTGTCTGTCAAAACACAATTTGGTATTGTAAGGCGTCATGGTTACATGGCTCGCTATGTCTTTAACCCCTCTCAGGCCTTACGCTCTTGTTATTTGTTGAGTGGAAACTTGTGAATCTCCAACTCCCAAGGCAGACCTCAGGTTGAGGTACCTTGCACCACTTGTTCATCATGCCACTACGTTGGTCCAGGTGGAGCCTTCCCTTAGGAGCTCTCAACCAGTAGATTGCAACCCTCTTGAAAGGAAGATATTATTTCTTTAATGCTGTGAAATCATAAAAAGACGCATCTTTGCATCACCTTGTGATGGAAGCCCAGCCTAACCACCTCAAAAATCCGATCATCTTTTCAGGGTGTGAGTCCAGCTTGGATACCTGATGGACTGCCCTTAATTATCCCATGCTGCGTGAGCAGCAGCTGCTGCTTCTGCTCAGCCCTGCTGGCAAGCCCAGAGGCCACCCATCAGAGAGCAAGCCAAGATGTCAACATCAACCTTCCCACAGCTTTGCCAAGAGATGCACAATCATCTCTCCCTCCCCACTGCTGGATGCATTTACCAGTTCATTCAATCTACATATGCACGTGGTAAATTAGCACTTGGCGGCTTGGCCAAGACTGCGGGAGGCTGAGAGCCCATCACAGACAGCCTTTGCCGTAGTGACACTGCCCAGTAAGCACCAGCAGAAGTCCTCACCCCAAGCACAGGCTCTGCTGGGCCACCTCCCGTCCTGCCTGGCAGTGAGGAGGGGCAGCAGGAGACAAGGGGACATGCGCATCCCCTTGGGGCAAGGAGGTGATGTGCAGCACGGACGGTCCTGCCTGGGCCATCACGTCGCCTGCCAGCCTGGCACGCAGCTGCAGCCTCCCCCCGGGTGGCTGAAAGGCTCTGGATGCAGCCTTGCACGGGCTGGGACGCCGGTGACATGCAGCTCGGCTGCCCCGCTGGAGCAGCCTTGCGGCTTTCATCTCCTGTTGCACGATGCCAGTTCTTTTCTTCCATCCCCAGCTGCTGCAGCAAGGTGATGCTGGCGCCTGCCTCAGCTAAAATAAATCACAAGTTCCTCACCAGTGAATTTTTGCAGGGTAAAAAAAATAAACAAGAAAAAATAAAAAGCTAACTGCATGACAGAAGAGCATGCAACAAGTTGAAACAGATGCCAAGGTAAAACAGCTTCTTAATCATTTGTGTTTGCTTGTGGCCAGCCAAGCTCCTTGTGTCTGGCATCTGGGGCTGGATGTGCTGCCTTTTACTGGCACGCTCGCAGATCTGGAGAGCTGTGGCATCTCTCCCGGCCTGGCAGGATCCTGTGCACCAGAAAGAGATAAGCAGGTGGTATTTTTATGGATAGCTTGCTTTGGAGAGGGTCTGGCCCTGCATGCAGGAAGGTTTGAACCCCAGAAGTTGTGGTGCTGCCCTGTTACCTGGGTGATATCTGCTCCAGGAGGTGGGCTGGGGGCCCAGGACCTGCTGTTGTCCCAGCAGAGCATGCACTGGTGATAGCTTGCCCCAAGTCCATCTGTCCTTCTCCTGGGCACACAGGGGTACCGATGGCCCTGGTTCCAGCTGCCTCTGCCCTGGCTGTGTGACCCTGGCTTGGTTTTGCTGAGAAAACTGCAGCTGCACTGTGAGAAAACACACCGACTAAAGGCAGGCGCAATAAGGAAAGTAAAAACACAGAGAGCTAAAGTTGCCAAGATCATAACAGCTAGCAACACAAGGCTCCAAGATGTAAATGCTAAGGGAAGAGGTATAAAACCCTGGAAAGCAAACAAGGTGGGAGATGGCAAGCCACCACCAGCAAGGCTCAGCCTGTTTCAGGGGACAGCCACCAACACTTCTCCTGGCGACTGGCTACATGGCCCCGGGGACCTGGTGTGGGGTAGGGCGAGCGCACTAAGGCTCAGCCAAGAGCTGGTAGCACAGCTGCGTGCCTCGAGGTCCTGTGCTCCTGCTGCGTGGTGAACAATGCATGAGCAGCAGGGGCCCCAGAGCATCAGGATGATGAGGGTGTAGGGAAGGGATGGTTCATTCAGTCAGTCCAGGGTGCTGGCACAGCTCGGGTAACACCCGGGTGCTTTTTGTTCTCCTGTTGCACAGGTGTGAGTGCTGGTTTGGGGCATGGAGGCAGACCTTGAGGGAGGCTGAAGGCTGCCTTGCTCAGCTGGCGTCAGACCAGGCAAGCAGACAGGCTGGATGTGCCGCCGGGAGCCCTGTGGGGAGCAAGCAGGAGGCCAGACCTCCTCACGGCTGGAGGGCAGCCAGCTCTGCAACCTTCCCCAGGTGCCAGCATCTGTGGGGCACGTCCCCACGATGGATGAGCCTCCCCGGGGCTGCTTCTCCTCTGTGCGCTGAGGGGTGCAAGCCTTACCCCTTCCCCAGCCCAGCGGGGTCTGGCAGGTGGGTCCTCCACACTCCCAGGGCTAACGCAGCACAACAAGCTGCTTTTATCTGGAATAAGCAAATGAAATGCAAACGAAGTGAGGCAGCACGTAATTACAGTCTGTAGCAGATGCCGGCGTTGTGCTGGAGGTACAGCTCTGCCCCTGTGGCTGGCAGCAGAAGAACCCGGTGCCGGCTCGTGACGAAAGTGCAAACAACTTTTTATTAGCACGAGTCTTGGCAACACCCAGCTCTTACCAGCAGCAGTAGTGCCAACAGCCAGAAAACAAACGCGTAATTTGTTTGGTAGTGCTGCAAACTACTCCTTTTCGTTAAAGACTTGGGAGCTGGAGGAGCCCCACAGCACATGCAGAGGACAGGTCCTTGCGGACTCCCCTGCACACTGCTTTCCACATCGCTGCGAGGTGGTGAGACACTGAGCTCTTTCCTCCTCTGGCTCCAAGTTAATCATCTGTTTGCAATTAACCTGCGACCTCCCGCCCCCGCAGCACGCCGGGCAGTGCTGTAGCTTTAACACAGGCGGTGGAAGCAGGAGGGAGGACAGCGGTGCCAGGTCCAGCCCCGAAGCTGCCGCAGATCCCTCACTCCTGGCCCCAGTCCCAGCGGCGCTGCCTGCCATGGGGAGCCGCAGGGTCCTCGCCGTGGTCCTCGCCTTCCTCGCCCTCCTCTCCATCGCTGCTGCCCGCCGCAAGCTGCTGGTGTTCCTGCTCGATGGCTTTCGCTTCGACTACATCGACGACAAGGAGCTGGAGAGTCTGCCGGGCTTTCGGGACATCGTCAGCATGGGGGTGAAGGTGGATTACATGACCCCAGATTTCCCCAGCCTCTCCTACCCAAACTATTACACGCTGATGACAGGTGAGCACTCGCGTTTCCTCGCTGTGATGCTCGGCAGGACTGCCAGCATCCTGCGCCGGGGTGGAGGGCACTTCTCTCATACCTTTCCTGCGGAGAAGCTGTAAAAGTAACTCTGCTCATGCTTTTAGCTGGGGGTTTAAAACTATTGCAGCTTGGTACTGCTTGCCTAGATGAAAGGACGAGCAGACCTGCCCTGGACTTGGAGACGCTGCACGGAGCTGGTTTTGCTCCAGTGCAGTGCTGCCGGCTCCCTGCCTCGCCCGCTGCACTCAGAGCACAGAAATGGGTGGGAAATGTACAGACAGTGAGCACGGAGCCTGTTCAGAGAGCTTTCAGTTAGCAGAAAGACGTGCAGGCTGAGGGGGGCTAAGAAAAGACTGATTTTCAGCCAGCAGGTCTGTATTAGAAAGTTCAGCATCACGTTTCCACTTGCGCTCTGCTGACTTTCTGCTGCCACAGGTCCCTGCTCTAACTTTGCCCAAAGTTATTGTAACTGTAATCTAGAGGAAAAAAAAAAAAAAAAAAGAAGAAGAAGAAGAAAAGAAAAACAACAACAAAAAAAAGCTCTTAGGAATTGTTGTTTTTGCTCCTTTACTGTCTCTCTCTTTCTAAAAGCCCGGGAGAGGTTTTCAGAAAAGTGGGAGAAGAGACGTAACTTTCACCGTGCTGATTTCCTTCTAACCTGACTGAGGCCATACATAATTACTGTGGTACTAGGAAGGTGCAGAGTACAAATTTGCTGTTTGTATCAGATAAAGGCAGCCTGGAGACAAAACTCAAGCACAGAAAGAAAGGGATTTTTTTTATTTTTTTTTCTGGAGTTTCAGATGGGATTTTTCCTCCATAGTTATTTAACAAACAAGACCTTAGAGCTGACTGTGAACAGTGAGAAAAGCTGCTCTCTCCTCGATACGTGGCGTCTTCTGCTGTCCACAGAACAATACAAAGCCCAGCAGTTCATATACTGCTTGCTGGGAAGGCAGAGAGATGCCATTGTAAGACAAAATCTGACATCAGTTGTGCCCAGCTTGTTTTGAAACCGCTTAACCCTTCCCTCTCTATCTTGAGAGAGGAATGCCTTTTTGATGCTCATTTCATCTCCCAAATAAATAAATAAAATAGCTGCCAGTTTGTTTTTTTTTTTTCATGGCAGTGGAGAAGCACAAATGCAGGGCAGATTTCACTACAGCAAACAGAGGTGTCTCTCCGCTGTGGGCCTTTTCCTGCAGATGTATGCAGGCACACCAGCTGAACACTTCATATTGTGAAAAGCCTTTGGGTGAAGCTGTTGAAGAGCAGAGGGAGGGACTGCTTTCTCTCTTTACTGTGATTAATCATCACACCTGTTGGGTGCAGATGTGCAGAGTGAAGCCCATCAGCAGCCCTTTGAAGAGCTTTGAAAACATCCCGTTTAGTGCTCAGGAAGGAGACCTGGTGTAGGTGATGAAACGTGACTTGTAGGCTGCTCACATTTTCAGGGTACCGGAGTTTCTAGCCAGAAGCAATGAGACAGTCTGCGAGACAAAACCTTTTCATAAGTCTCCCGGCCTTCGTGACAAAGATCTCTGTTGCAAGTACAAATGAGCTGCAAATAATAATTAACCTTTATATTGCATGGGCCACAGCGGTGTTAAACAGGTCAGGAAGAAATTGAGGGCTAGGTTTGGGTGCCAAACAAGCCCAAAGGAAGATCTGAGGCTGCACCTGAGCCCTTGGGGTGTAGGTGTACCCTGTGGCTGTGTCCTGGCAGTGACCTGTCCACCCCAGCGCTATGGTACAGGGTCTGCAGGAGGAGATGTTGCATTTGGGGTGGTGGTGGGGCTGGGGCAGGAGGCAGGTTGGTGTTGGTGGCTGTGAAGCTGTGTGCTTAGGCTGTATGTGATCGATTTGACTCCACATCAGACACCGCAGTTCGTGCACCTCTGCTGTGGGGTGCCTGTAACTGGGTTTGCCTCCCTTAGGAACTGGGACGTGCAGGACTTAAATGTTACCAGTTTGTTCTGGGAAATCAGGGGCTATAAGGACAGGCTATTCTTTGTGTCTTGTCCTAAACTGCTGTATCACAAGCTGTTAAGAGACTCACTTTTGACCTCCAGATTGTTGTATCTTGCATCTCTAAGAGTGCTTTCATAGCGTATTGGCTTTTATTCAGATAAATCAGCTCAAGAAATGTCTAGCCCCTTCTGCACATTCCTGCCCCTGATTTGTTCACTGTATCTCTCAGCAGGATAAGCACTCCCGTCTCTTCATTCCCTGCTCATTCACAAGCTCTTGAGGAACTGTATCCATCCAGGCATGCTGACAGCTGTCTCTTAGTGCCACAAGGTCCTTAGTTGTTATGGGGGATGTCCCCTTGTTTTGGTGGCTTTGGATGAGGACATGGGCTCTGCTCTTTGCTTACCACCACCATCAGGACGGGTTGGTTCCCTCAGACCTCAGCTCACCTCCTCCTCCTGCCCAGAGCTGCTCCCTCTGCCCATCACATCTCATTGAAGGTGCCAAACTGCCCCTGCCAGCCCTGCCCAGAGGCAGATTTCATCTGCAATAGGCAACAAGCAAGCACCAGCACGCAGTGCAGCTGTCTGACTGTCTGCAGGATCATGCAGTCATTACATTAGACTCTGCTGATGTTTCCAAGAGGGCAACCTGATTGAGTTTAATATTGACAAGAAATAGCAAGAGTTTACTGAGCGTTTCAAAGGGATAACCAAGAGATGCAACCATAACTGATGACAGAGAGGCACAGATCTAAAAACAACTAACCACTGATGTGAAGCACACCCCATTTTGCTGACAATATTTGCTAGGTGAAGCACAGGTGCAGTGGGAGAAAGAGCACCCAGCATAGGTAATACAATGCTGACAGTCTAGGTAGAACAAGACGGATAAATGTTGGGAAAGGAAACTTGGAGAGGGAGACATCTTGCCAGGGTCACGCAGTGCTGCATGGTGATGCTGGATGAGTGCAGAACTCTCTGTGGCTGGTTTGAAAACTGTGGTGGTGAAACCAGGAGGGTTATGAGTTGCCCAAAGCGGTGGATTCAGGGAATGGTGGATGTAGGAGGACAATCACAAGGGATAAAGCCAGAGGTTTCAGCTGTGAAGTGGAATTAAGCCACAGAGCCCTGCCAGGGTTGGGACTGCTCGTTGTATATTAGGAGTTAACAGAAGGAAACCTGTACTGCTAATCCTCAGCCTTGAGTCATTCAAAGACAGTGGCATTCAGTGTTAATCCTCACTGTAATAAGTTAGGTCTCTTTAATTCTTCTGCTGCTGTTAATCTCCAAGCAGGTGTTTTCTGAGGCTTCCCGGAGTGATGCAGGAAGCCCAAGGCGAGCCAGGAGATCTTTGTCCTTCCTCTGTTTCCTCAGCAATTACAAGAAAGAAAAGCAGAGCACAGAAAGGAGACCAACACCAATGGCTAGGACAGCACCAAGCAATACCCATGTTACTGCTGGAGCAAAGCAATCTCGCTGACACCCAGTCTGACAAGTTATTTTATGACTCAGTGCCCCACACTTTGAAAAGCAATCTCCTGTAACAACTTCACTTATGCCATTTTCCTTAGTTTTGGCTTCCACACTGGTGCAAAGACTGGTTCTTGAGTAGCTGGGTTGTTTCCTAGGGAGATTAGCTGCTAGGCTGGATCCTACCTCATGCTCTAACTCAATGCTCTCCATTTATGATACTGAAGTTGCGGACTTGATGGTTTTTCCCCTAATATCACAGAGATCTGTGATTCCAGATGAGAAACGAGCACAACAGGAAAGCACTCTGGCAACAGAGACATCCCTGCTTCTGGGCAAATAGCCTTCAGATCAGTGAACAAAGCTGTGAATAGAAAATACTATAGAAAAAGTGATGCTTTAAGGTAAAGTCTTTTTCAAGGCACATTTTATTAGATTGCCAAAAGCTCTTTAAATGCCTGAGCTCTTTCTAAAAGTTCAATGGCACCCTGAAATAAGATTGTCGAGTAAACCAAAAGACAGATTTGGTGCTTGTATGGCCTTAAATCCATGCGTATGTAAGGGACTCCCCTGGGAGAGGCAGGATTGTATTAGCAAAGAAAGGCACTTGGAAAAAAGGCGTTGCATAAAATGGTGAGATAGGTGAAAGCTGTTACTGACGTGTTGGAGGGAGCTTTGTGAGGCTAGATGTGGTTTTGGCAGCCGAGGGGAGAAGAAATCCAGATATGTCTAACCCGAAAGGCTCACTTAGCCACATCATGTGTTGTTTGTTTTGCAAAGAAAGGAATTAAGATCACAAGCCACCCCAGGATTTTATCCCACTGGGAGTGTTCAGTGCTTCCCTTCCCCTGTCTTGGCGTGTTTCTGCAGGGCGGTCTCAAGCCAAAGCAAACGGAAAGTCTGAGGTCTCCCTCTGCAACTGCTACAAGCGGTATTACTGCTCGGGGCCGTGCATGCCATCTCTCGAGAAAAGCTGCTTGTGCTGAGGAGCTTCAAAGGCACCCGCAGGCCCCAGGGACCTGCTGGGGACACCAGCCCTGCAGGCCCCATGAAGTCCCCCCTGGTTGGGGAGGCACGATGTGCCAAGTCCAGCCAGCATAAACACCAGCACCACATCTGAGCAGGGAGCCGGGGGGAGGATTTGCTTTCCAAGATCCCAACAACAAACGCAGTCTTTCCTGGCAGGCCTTCAGGCGGCTGTGCAGGGGCCATGTTTCTCTTGGCCTCCACGGGGAGCAGAGGGAGATCCTTCTGGTGGAGGTGGGTGGGAGGGGAGAGCTTAAAGAGGAGCAAGCCTGGGGCCTCCACACACCACTTTAGGGAGGCCCCGTGAAGCTTGTAGGACAGAGGAAGATGTGGAGCAGGGAGAGTCTCAGCTCTGAGCACCAGGACAAGGCCTTCACAGGACTGTCCCACCATTGCTGTGCTTCGGTCAGCTCCCATCTTCTCCTGAACACAGCAAATCCTGGTGTACACCGAGCTGTCAGCACGCCACATGGACTGCTCACCATGGCAAATACGTACAGTTCTTGT